CCTAACACCATGTACAGCACTCTCTCTCTCTACTGAACTGTCTAATGGTGCAGTAGAAACAAAATAGATGCTCCTTGCCCTCTTAAGTCACCATCCATCTACTTTGTATGTGTATTGTATATACCTATTTATGCAGAGATTATTTCTCCCATTAGACTGTGAGCTCCTTGAAGGCAGGGACAGATTTTTGTTTTTCTTTGTATCTCCAGAGCTTAGCAGAGTGAGCACTTAATACATACTCAATTGATCAATGCCTTGGATCATCAACTGAATAATGTTCAAACAGGTTGTGGCATAGGAAACTAATGGAGTATTACTGCTCTGCAAATGACATTGAATATGAAGAGCATAAAAACGAGTGGAAAGGATTACCTGAACTAAGACAAAGTGAAGTAAGCAGAATCAGGAAAATATTTTTACCATAACTGCAACAATGTACTGTAAATGAGAAGAACAATATCATTTAAAAAATGAAGCTGAACCCTATGTAATTATAATCATCACACTTGGCCCCGAAGGAGACATAATTATATGTGTCTGGCTCCTTTTGTTGCTAAGGTGGGGCACTCTGGGTGTGGAACATTGAATTTTTTTTGTCTAACTTGGTTAATAAGTTGCTTAGTTTTGCTGAACTGCCTTTCTTTCTTTTTCTTTTTTCTTTTTATTAGAAAATATGGTTTGGAAATGAAGGTGATGTAAAGACAAAAGATACTAATAAATTTTCTTTTAAAAAATAGAATGTAGCACACTCCCTCCATAAGATTCTGCTACTTATTGATTTTTTTCCTGTCTCTAGCTATATTTCTTAACTCAATCACATGGGTCTTGGAGTACTGAGGATTCTTAGCCTCTGATGCCATTATATTTATATTTAAGGTTTATTTTTAACTGTGCCCTTTTGAGCATCATCATCAGCATCAGCATCAGCATCCTATGGCCACGGTCCTGGTGAGGCCAGACATGGGCTCAAGGTTTAACCTTTATTAGTGACATTAGCTGCTGAGGGAGCTTGTGCTAGGCTTCACGTGGTGTGTCGAAAAGCCGCAGGCCAGGAAAGTCACCAGCCTCCGCATGATTTAATTACAGCTGAGATTTCAGACTTGGTTTCTGTTCCCAGGGCTGGGTGTGATGATACAGCTGGGACTCTGGTGCCTTGGCTTCCATAGCTCTGGTAATTGGTGCAGTGGGAAGGGGGTTTTATTGGGCTGACAATACGTTTTCTCGACTGACCCACATCCAAAGCCAAAAACACAGTTCAATGACTTTATATGAGTCCCTGTCTCATATTCATTCCAATTGAGAAGGGGTCACCTCTCTGTAACTTTCCTGCTGGACATCTGCAGGATGCCCTGGGTAAGGTAAAACACTAAACAGACTAAGCATATGTCCCCATGCTGGAGGTGAAGAATAGGCTCTTTTTGTCTCTTTTACTAACAGTTTAACTTTTTACTTCATTTCCTAATGAGTCAACCCAACAATTGAATTCAGGTAAGCCCTTACTGAACACCTATGGAGGGCCAGGAGCAGAGTCCAGTAAAGTTACTAGAAGAGAGACAACACTGTAAAATCAATCAACAAACATTTATTAAGCACCTTTCATGTGCCAGACAGAATCTCTGTCCTCAAGGAAGGAATAGTCAAGTTGTGGGATAGAAAACATACATATTAACTGTGACTTAAAATTAAAAAGAGGTAAGCATGCATGGACATCCTTGATCAAGGATTTCAGTATATGGAATTCCCAGTGTAGAAATTCTCTTCATAGATGCTGATCAGCAACTTTTCTGCAAATTACAGTCTGAGAGAATTCTCTGAGTGTGCTTAGGGGTTACGTGACTTGAGGATCTGAACCCAGATCTTCATGATAAGGCTGGATCTCTATTCACTTACTGTCTAGGTGCATAGGAAAGGCATTAAAAAAAAAAGCTATGTGTGTTCCAAAGAAGGAAGAGTCTTTCCTGAATGGGGGAATTAAGGAAGGCTTACTGGAAAGAGAGTATTGAATGAAATTCAATTTAGCAAATGTTTTACAAGTGTCTCTTATATGAAAAGTACTGTGTTAGGTATTAGGGATACAAAACCAAAATGAAAACCAGTCCTTGTCCTCAAGGGAGCTTACCTGGAGGATCAGGTGACTTAGAGATTACCTAGTCCAACCTGGTAATTTTACAAATTATGAAACTGAGGTTCAGCTGAGAAGAAGTGATTTGCTTAAGGTCATATAATTAATAAATAACGTAGCTGAGAACTGAGTCCAAATCAGACTTCATTTCCGATGCCCTTTCAAGAATAACGCCCCCCCCCCCGACCTTGAAGGATAGGAAAGAGTTCAACAGGGAGAGAATAAAAAACAACTAAATTTTTTTTGAGAAGAGTCTGTTTATTGTATTGCTGATTCTCAGTCAATGTGTTTCTATTTGCATACTCCAAGTGATGCCAAATCCTACTGCTGCTGGTTCTCTCTTCACTTCTCTGATCACCTCCATTCTCATGACCCAGTCCTAATTCCTATTTCTGGTTTCCTCTGATCTGTAGTCAGTCAGCCATGAAAGCTGACAGAGGAAGAGACGACTAACTGGTATGATTTAAGAGGGGCCAAAAGGTCTCATGCTTTTAAATACCTCCTTCAGCAGCTTGGTATGGTGTCTTAATTCCCACCATTAGTTGCTTAAATGACTCCAAACCAACTCAACATATACACTGATTTTATAAGCAAGCATATGCCACAGTAGATGGAGCAATGGCCCTAGAGTGAGGAAGACTTGAGTTCATATCCAGCCTCAGACATTTATTAGTTTTATGACTAGTGATATAACCTCTTTCTGCCTCAGTTTCCTCGCCTGTAAAATAGGGGGTAATAATAGCATTGAGCCACTTAGTATGGCTGTTGGGAGGGCCAAATGACAAGTGGTTTACAATACAAAACCTCCTATTTGTTTTTTAAAACCCCTCTTAACCTGACCCCCTTCTACTTCAGCAGTCTTCTTATATCATTCCTTGCCACCCATATAACTCTGCAATCCACTGACACTGCCCCCCCCCAGTACAAAACATGGCATCTCCCTAGTATGGGCACAATTTCTCTGGTTATTCCCCATGCCTAGAATTCTCTACCTCCTCATCTCCATCTTCTGGCTTCCTTGACTTTGTTCAAGTGCCAGATAAAATGCCACCTTTAACAAGAAGGCTTTCCTGGTCCTCCTTAGTGCTAGTGAATTCCCTGTGTTGATTATATCCTGCATATATCTTGCTTGTACAAAGCTTTTATTTTTTTCGCTTATTGTCTTGCCCATTTGTCTTGTGAGATACTTGAGAACTGAGACTTTTTTTGTGACCTTTCTTTGTATTCTCAGAGATTTGCACAGGGCTTAGCACATAGGTCCTTAATAAATAACCTGAAAGCACTATGAAATGTTAGCTATGTTAGTGACTTCACCATGAAGGTGCCCCACCTCTACAGCAAAAGGAGGCAGGTACATTTAATTATGTCTCCTTTGGGGCCAAGTGTGATGATTATAATTACATAGGGTTTGGTTTCATCTTTTAAATGATATTGTGCTTTTCATTTACAGTACATTGTTATAGTGATTGTATAAAATATTTTCCTGATTCTGCTTGCTTCACTTCATCTTAGTTCAGGTAATCCTTTCCACACATTTCTAAGTTCTTCATTTTCAATGTTGTTTGCAGAAGGGGAAAATGGGGATACATATATTTGTATAAATATAATTCAGGAAGTAGTGAAAGAGAACAAAGGCCATGGACCACTCAGAAGACTTAAATCTGTATATAATGAATACATTCTTCAAGGAAAGGTTGGGAAGTTGCGATGTGGTGACTCAATCAGTCAACCAACAAGTATTTAAATGTTTGCTATGTGCTTGGCATTTGAGATACAAGTACAAAGAATGAAATCATCACTACTTGCAAGTTTACATTCGTGGAGAGATAAAATTTATATATGAAAATATATACACACAGTTTGAACACTAAACAAAAGAAGTGAAATTGACTATGTCTTTGTATGTAAGAAATGACTATTACAGATATGAAAATAATGTCTAAATCAGTCGTCTGTGAACATGGTAAATATCAAATAAAGTGTCAAAATCAACTAGAAACTAGAAAATAAGAAAGGTATAAGTGGACATGGTAGACATTACAACAGTTCCAGTATGACCTATTCAAACATACATTGAAAAATGAGAAATGGATAAAGTATGGACACTGACTCTAATTATTACCGTTTCCTAAAGAAGTTTGCATGACGTAAAACAGTCATCATAATGCAGAGGTCAAAAGAGCTCAGAAACAACTTCAGCTAGCAAAGTTTGATCTTTTTGCCAAAGGGAGGAAAGGGGTGATCAAGGGAAATGCCATTTAGAATATAACCTAATTTTCAACATATTACAGAGCAGAATGGTTGAAGATAAATGAGCAATTATCACCTCAAAAAGGAAAAATAAGTCTGCAGAAAGTGTGGAATGAGACCCTTCTAAGCCAAACATCTCAAGAGCATTTATAGATAAACCTGGAATGCAGAGATCTGCTAGTGTTTCTATAATAATCCTTTTTTTTTTAAAAATCATTGTTGACAGTGAAAAAACCATATTTGGACTCTAACACCTCAGTCTTCAGCATGTCATATGAGGAAGTAGAAATGACACTGAAAAATGAAGTGAAGAATATCAGCTACTTCAGATTAAGTTCAAAGAAGAAATTTATGCTGGAGGCAGCACAATTTTGAAAGCACTAAGGAAATGATTCTCAAGATAGCTGGAATAAAGCAATAAGTTTTCTTGATTTTTTTTTCCAATCCTCACTTCTAAAATATGTAACCTAGGACTAGACACAATGCTTTATATATCATTATTCCAGAGAGAGTATAGTGATACCACTGATCATTGTTCTTTCCTGCTGCATTACTTCTAATCTTACTCTTCAACATCCTCTGTGGTATGGCTAAGATATTCACTTTGAGGTTTAACCCTTTCCCCCCCCCCCCAGTATGGCAACCACAGTCTGTCAAACTATTGCTCCATATTATCTGTTCCCCATTTGTATATCATTCAGGGACATCTTCATTTGTTTTCCTTTGTCCACATGGCATTCCAGCTTGGTTCCCTTGCCTTTTTCCATTAGCTGTAGATCTTGGACCCCACTTTCTCTTGTCCTGAAGGCCACAAAGAGAGGGATCTTAGTGTAGTGGAAAACATGATAGACTTGAAATCAATGACCTGGGTTTGAATCTTAACTCTGCCATTAAAGCATGTACATGATCTTGAGCAAGTCACTCTGAATCTGTTTCCTCATCTGTAAAATAGATTTTGGAAATAGAGAGTTGGAACCAAGTTGGAATTCTAGATCTGCTACTTATCGTCAATGTGACCTTGGGCTAGTCATGTGGCCTCTCCAAGTCTTAGTTATTTACTCTGTAGAATGAGGGGATTGGACTAGATCAGCGCTTCTTACCCTAACCCTAAATGCACTCCTCAGACTCTAACCCTAAAAATTTGGCAATAATAAAAGGTTTCTGAACACGCAAAGATCAAATGCATAATGAATCGGAGGTATTTCTAGCAGTGCTTGCCAGTGTTACAACGAGCAACTTCACTGTAGCCTTGGTTGTGAAAGTACAGCGTGCACACTTTGTACTGCGCATGCCCTCAGGCTACGTAACAGCAATGCTGCCAAAATGTGAAAAGGGGTCTCAAGTGTAAAATGCTTAAGAAGTTCTGGACTAGATGACACCTAATGTCTTTTCCAGCTCTAAATCTATGATACGACTTTCTCTACCCATGCCATAGAGTTATTGAAAGGATTATATACATTTACAGATTAAAAGCTGAAAGGGGCTTTAGAAGCCATTGCTCCAACACTAGCATTTAATAAAAGAGGAACTGAGCCTGTGAGAAGATATGACTTACCTAGGGCCACACAGGGAGTAAACAGGATTTGAATCCAGAATATCCAACTCCAATTTTAACATGCTTTACACTGTACCACACTGTCTGATATGTAATATGCAAATTTTTGGTAAATGTAGAGGATTATACGCATGTAAGCTATTATTATTACCATGAAGCTTTCTTGATTAAATGGAGGCTGAAATCCACTACCCACTCTGCTCAAGTATGGTAAAAAGAAATTGTAAAAGAGGGAGTAAACTTGGAAATGCTTGCACTGGCCTCTTCCTGCCTGTGGAGGATCAGAAATATGCTCTCCATCTCATGCTGGTCTCTGCCTGATTGCATATGACCCTTCATGTTTGCATGGGATAGAGAGGCATCACTGCTTCTTCCTGTGATTAGCTCTGTCCTGACCTTCTGACAGGGATAGGAGAGAAACACTATTTCTTCAGCTCCCCATACTGGTCTCCTTGTCTGAGCTGCCTGACACCCTGAGAGGACTTCACCCTGATGCTGAACCCCTAGGACTATTAATAACCACCTGACCTCAATTGATAATGACTAACAATCTCTCACCTGGTCACAGCGTCCCTGTCCCACCCCTAATTGTCAGCATTTGAACCATGTTCTTTCTCCCCTATTGCCTACTCCCTTATGCCCACACACCTCAAACCACTTTGTCCTCCAATGTCCCACTCTGAAGTTACCTATCCCTTCCATTGTACTTTCTGGAATGCCTGTTCCATAGGAATAAATTGGCTTTTCTCCTAAGTCTTTTCCTTTCCATTCCTTTCATATTCTGGATCTCATTAAGGCCTGGAACTGTCTTGATGACACAACCTTCCTGGCCATCTTTCTAGCCCTAGCTGCACTTCTGGCAACTCATTCCACTGACTCAGTGGTTGAGGAAGAGGAATTTGAATACTCTTTGCTCCTCATTGCTATTTCCAGTCTCTTCCTCTAACACCACCATCTGGAAACCTTTCCTCCTTTGAGGTTCACTTAATCCACATCCACCATCCAATCAAAATTCTGTTAGCAGTCACCTACCAAACTCCAGGAAATCCTCTCTTTCTTCAATGAATTCAGATCCTGTCCCACCATATTTTTCTCCTCAGCTCCTGTCCACATTCTAGCATACTCTAACATACATATTAATGCTCCCTTAAACACCCTAATCTCCCTGTTCCTCAATTTACTTATTTTCTAGGACCTACTCTTCCATTCTACCTCAACGATATACAGAATGGCCATACCATTGATCTTGCCATCATCCACAAATATGTTGCTTCCATGTTTGTGAACTCTGAAATTCCCCTATCTGATCATAGTGTATTGTCATCCCAGCTCTTCCCTTGCCTTGTAATCCCAAACCTTAATAATCTTCATCTTCACTGTGTCCTCCAATGCCTCCAACTTTCAGTGCATTCTCAGGTCATTATCCCTGTACCAGCTACACTTTTCTCCCTTCTCCATCTTGACCCTTTAGTGAACTGATTCATACATACATCGTCCTCTTTTCTTGAGTCATTTGTCCCCTTAGCTTATTAATAATCTGGCCCCACCAAGTCTCAGCCCTAAATTATCCCCACCATATACTGGTTTTACTCTTACAAACATACTGCCAAATGGAGAAAATCATGAAACTGTGCTCACTGGATCCATTACAAATTCATGTTATGTAATCTCAACTGAGCCCTTATTATAGTAGAGCAATCCTTTGAAACCTCCATATTGACTCACTATCCCACTCACCATGTAGCTTTTCCAAACCTTTTCATCCCACATTTTCAACCTTCCCATAGCTCCTCCTCCCTATCCCTCATCTGAGAACCTTGCTTCTTATTTCATTGAAAAACTCAAGCTCTCTATAGTCTGACTTCCAGCCTCAACATTCAATAGAGTCATCTGTCTCTAAAATTACCAATGATATTTAAACTGAAAAATCTAATAGCCGTTTTCTAATCCTCATCCTTCTTGACCTCTCTGAAGACATTGACTCTGTTGATTACCCTCTGCTCCCCGACACTCTCTTCTCTCTAGGTTTTTGTCACACTAATCTACTTTGATTCTTCTACTTCTCTGAGCACTCCTTTTCAGGATTTTTTCTCCTTTGAAGGATCTCCATCCACTAATGATGGGCACTCCACAGGACTTTGTCCTAGGTCCTCTTCTTTTTCACTTCCCTCTATTTCACTTAGTGATCTAATGGAATTCTCATGGATCCACTTATCATCTCTATGCAGATATGGTTCTCAGATCTACTTTTCCAGATCTAACTTCTCTGCTGACCCCCCAGTCTCACATCTTCAATTGCCTATTAGACCTCTAGAATTGTATGTCTTGTAGACATCTTAAACTCAACATGTCTAAAATTCTATTTACTCCAAAGCTCTCCCCATCTTCCTATCTTTCTCTATTACTGCAAAGGGTACCATCATCCTCTCAGTTATCCAGGTTCACAATTTAGGTGTCTTCCTTGACTCCTCTCCAATCTCTCATCAAATCCTGTTGATCTGCTTTCATAATATCTGTCATCCATACCTCCTTTTCTTCTCTGACACTGCTATGTAGGTCTTCATCTTCTCGCTCACACCTGGATCATTTCACTAGCCTTGTAGTTGGTCTTGGTAATAGGGTCCATCCTCCACTTCTCTGTCAAGGTGATCTTCTGGGTTTTTTTTTTGGGGGGGTTAGGCAATGAGGTTAAGTGACTTGTCCAGGGTCACACAGCTAGTAAGTGTTATGTGTCTGAGGCTGGATTTGAACTCAGGTCCTCCTGAATCCATTGCTGGTGCTCTATCCACAGCACCACCTAGCTGCCCCAAGGCGATCTTCTTAATGCACAGGTCTGACCATGTTACTCTCTGCCTCCAAGATTAAATATAAAACTTTCTGTTTGGCATTCAAAATCCTTTATAACCTGCTTCCCCTTTTCCAGTTTTCATACATCTTGTTCACTCCTCTATACTCTTTGATCCAGTGACACTGGTACCCTTATTTTTCCTTGCTGAGGACATTATATCTCCTAACACTTTGCATTTCCACTTGCTGTCCCCCATGCCTTTCCCTACTCAACTCTACCTCCAGGTTGCCCTGATTTCCTTCAACTCTCAGTTAAAATGCTGCTTCTATAAGGAACATTTCCCGGCCTTCCTTAATCTTCATGCCTTCCCTCCATTGACTTTCTCCAGTTTATCCTGTAGATATCTTGTTTGCATGTAATTATTTGCATATTGCCTTTCCCATTAGATTGTGATCACCTCTAGGACAGGGTCTGTCTTTTGCGTTTCTTGGCATCCCTAGTCCTTATTACAGTGTCTAGTACATAGTGGGCACTTGTGAAATGTTTATTGACTGACTGACAGAATCAGGAGAGACCTGGGTTTGAATCCTGCCTCTGACACTTACTGACTAGGTGGCCCTGGACAATCCACCTCTCTAAATTGCAGTTTCACTATCAGCAAAAGGAGGGTAAAAATAGCTGTCAGACCTACTGCATGAGGTTGCTATTAGGGTCAATTTTGGTGGTTGATTTTGCCCTCAGGGTGTAAAGTATTTTGAAAACCTTAAAGTTCTGTGTCACTGCTACAGCTTCTGTTATCCTTGTTCTAGGAATGAAGAAAAAACAAACCACAAGTGAACTTGCTAAAAAAAAAAAAAAACCATCTGCTCACGAACTATAAATAACACAGGTATTGCTTATCTGTTTTGTTTCCTTACCTTGGGATATCTGCTTCCCAAGCTGACCTATCTCACGATGTCTCTGTGGGTCACAGTTAGACTGGGAACATGTATCCTAGAATGCAGCAGCAATGCAGTAATAATGTTAAGGCAAAAGTGCTGAGCTCAGGGCCAGGAGCCTAAATAATTTCCTTTAATGAGTGTAGAGTAAGAGATCCTCAGAGCCGGGAGGGAAGTTAAAGAACATCACATTTTTACAGCTGAGAAAAAGGAGGTGCAGAGAATTTAAATGATCTGCTCAAGAACATATAGAAGCATAGCCCATAGAAGGTTGCCTTTGGAATTAGGAAGACCTGGGTTCAAATCCAACCATGGACACTTACTAGCGGTGGGATCAAAAATAGGTCATTTTATTCCTCAGAGCCTCAGTTTCTTCATCAGTAAAATGGTGGTAATAACTTATAATATCTCCCTCACCTACTGTTATAAAGAAAAAAGCACTATAGAAATATATAATTGGTTAATGCTTGAGCTGGGGCAAGAGCCAAGAATTGGTTCTTATAATAGGCCAAATGAAAGACTTAATTGTCTGAGGAGTAGCCCCTGAATAGAGAGAACTGTATGATCCAAGGGTAGTTTTGCATATTTTTTTTTCCCTTCAGAGGGTAGACTGGTTCACTTAAAACTAAATTAAATAGCTACTTTGATTCTCTCAGATGTCAGTGAAAGTTAAAAGGATGAATTATTTTAGTGCATAGGCAGTAAGTACAACACACATAAATGAATGAGAGACAAAGACAGAAGAACAGAGATAGAAAGGTGAGAGAGAAAAGAAAAGGAAAGAAGAAAAGAGAGAAAAAAAGATGAGAGAAGAGAGGAGTTGAAAAGAGAAACAGCTATTTTGGTGGTAGATAACTTGTAACTGAATCAAGCCAACATGGAAATCATTAAGAACACATTGAAATATCAACATACTCATAAAGGCTTTTGTGAAGCCTTCTTAGATTCAGAACTGGAGGACAGACCATCTAGTCCAGCCTCCTCATTATTTTATAGACAAAGAAATTGAGGCTGAGAAAAGTGAGGTGACTAACTCAAGGTCTCTTAGGTGGTAAGTAGCTGAGCTGAGATATGAATTAAAATTTTGTGTCTCTAAATCATGGGGCCCTTCATTTCTGTGACTTCCAAAGACAGAAAAAATCAGCAGAAATAGTTCCTACATGGACAAAGCTTGGCTTATACTTCTTATTTTAAGTCAGATGGAAGAACACTGGAGGTTTTAGATAATCCAAAATGGGTCTGATATAGATAGAGGCATAATTCAATTCATTTCAACAAACGTTTACTCATTGAATATTTTATACAAGTCATTGGGTTAGACCTAGAGGTGAAAACATGAAAAAACAAAGGTAGGAGAGAAAATTCTCATCCATAAGAGATTAAAGTCCAATAGATTATAATATTACTGTCATCTAAATTCAGAAAGGATACTGATGTATGACTGGAAAGATTGCTATATAACCAATGATAGTCTCCTTGAGATAACAAATAGAGTCTGGAAGACAGGTCTGATCAATCACATGTAGAGTTCAAAGATCTATCAGTGTTCATAGCTTTATAGCCAATTAAAGGACAGGAGATACAGTGTGCTATTGGTCTGCAAAAATGTTTTCATCAATGGGCACAAGCTGATGTTTTTCTCATGATGTGCCCATATTTTTTCTCAATTTTGAAGTAAATTGAGATAAAAGGCCACTTGCAATTTTGGAGAGGATAAAAGAATGGGGATAAATTCAATTCAATTAGATAAATATTTAGTGCCTGTTGGTTTAAAAATGCTATTTTATATGCTGTTGAAAGATAAAAATGAAGAAGATCTTGTTCCCATCCTCAAGCAGGTTAAAGTCCATGAGATGAAATGGTATCTATGGTAGTAACTACCAAGCCTTTGTATTTCACTTTGACTCGGAGAGTGTCATTGTTTCATCTATAAATGGGACTTGGAAGTGGCTACTTACAGTGATGCAACTGGATAAGTCACTAGGTGGCATTCTAGGCTTGAGCTGCCCTCATTTACTAACTAGACATGTTTGAACAAAACAACCATCTCAAAGGCTTATTCATTTATTCTAGCCACTGAATAGATCTCAAAGCTTGAGCCATATCTCATCACTCCTGGTGCCTGAGTAAAACTCCAGTGTTTAACTTGCTTTTCTCAGTGCTTTCTAGGGCTCTTATCTAGGAGTATGAGTATATCCCTGACAGTAATTCTTAATTTATCACATGGCTCGGCCCCCACATCCTTGAGATTCTAATCTCTCAACTTCACATGGCTCAGGATTACTCATTCACACATGGATTCAATGGACTTTTTACCACAGGAAAATTGTAACTAACAATGTTCATTTTTTAAACTTCTGAGTAACTGGCAGTTGTTGCGCTTAGTGAAGTCTGAAAAACCAAGTTCCTTTATGCAATTTTCTCTGCTCAGGTAGGGATGCTCAAAGACCATATTGATAAAGCATTACCTATCAGTTATTTTAATCTCCAAAGTATAAGATGTGGAGTAGTTTCTGTTTGGGCTTACCACACTTGCTTCCTAGAGTTCAGTTGGGCCTATACCAATGAAGATTCCTTTATGGCAGTAGTTCTTAACCTTTTTTTTGAGTGTGTGTTGCAGACCCTTTCTGGAAGGAAGTCCACAGACCCTTTCCCAGAATCAAGGTTTAAATACTCAAAATAAAATACATAAGATTACAAAGGAAACCAATTGTATTGAAATTTTGTTATTGTTCAGTTGTTTCCGTCATGCTTGACTCTTTGTGACCCTATTTAGGGTTTTCTTGGAAAAAATACTGGAGTGAGTTGTCATTTCCTTCTCCAGCTTAATTGACAGATGAGGAAACTGAGGCAAACAGGGTTAAGTGACTTGGCCAGGGTCATACAAGTGTCTGAGGCCAGATTTGAACTCAGGAAGATGGGTCTTCCTGACTTCAGATCCAGTACTCTATCCACTGTACCACCCAACCCCTCTATTGAAATAGTTATAAAAATATAATTTTTGAAAGTTCACAGTCACACAGGTTAAGAACCTGTGTTTCATGGGCTCTTCATTGACCTACATAATAATTAGAAGGAGGCTTAGAGTACAGATCTCTGTGTATTTCTCATGGATTCTCCTCTGGAATCTTCTGTCTCTCTCCTCCTAAATCATAGAGATTCTGTTTTTAAATATCCTGCTACAGCAGGGCATTAGTAGACAGGCAGTTGCTTTTCCATTAAAAGCTTTGGTCAGTTCAATTTTTTCATCATTTGTACTTCGTCACTTAGAGATGACAGGAAAATGCAGAGGAAAAGGAAAATTCAATATCATTTGAAAATTAGGCATTGTATCAGAGAAGTACAAAGCAGACAATGATTCTGAGGAAGAATCATCCAGCTGGAGGGAACCAGGGAAGGTTTCAGAGAGGAAGAAGACCTCATACTGGGATTTGAAGGTTAGGAAAAATTTCAGTGTCTGGGTGAGGGAGCGTATTGTAGGTGTGGGATTCAGAATATGTAATGTAAAAATATATTGAAATGTTCCTTTTTTGTACCTCCTTCATATCCCTCCTCAGTGAACCAACCTTTTCTTATGGACAAGTAAAATTCTATGACATTCACATGTAAAAATTTGTTTAGCCACTCTCTGATCAGTAGACATTGACTTTGTTTCCAGATCTTTGCTCCTATTAAAAAAAAAGGCTGCAATAAATATTTTTGTATATGTAGGACCTTTCTTTTTCTGTTTGTCTTCTTTGGGGTATGTGCCTAACAATGAGATCTCTGGGTCAAAAGGTATAATTATTTTAGTAATTTTCTATTCTTTCATCTATTTCCCCCCACCCAGATTATAAGCTCTTTAGTCAGGAACTGTTTTTACCTTGGTCCAGTTCCTTACACCATAAAGGTATAAGCCCACATATTAGAGATGGGTGACCCAGAGGTGATATACAATGTTGTGGTGGTAGAAAGATGAAGACTGGAGTTCAGGAAAAAGACTAGAACTAGGTATGTAAGTTTTGGAGTTATCAGTGTAGGGATAACAAATAAGCTACTATGGGAAGCAGCATGGTACAGGTGGAAAGAACACAGGCTCTGGAGTCCAAGGACTGGGGTTCAAATATTGCTTCTGATGTTAATACCCGTGTAAGTCTTTTACCCTTCCTGGGCCTAAATGTCCTCATCTGTAAGATGAGTAGATGGTATTTGAGGGTGCTTCCTACCTTACATCAATGATTCCTTTTGAGGAAGGCATCATGAGAGAAAGTGTAGAGAAAGAAGACAAAGGGAAACAAGACAAAGCCTTGGATACACTAAGAGTTTGGGGACAAGAGGGGGAAGACGATCTAACAAAAGAGACTGAGAAGTAGCCAGACAGGTAGGAGGAGAACCAAGAGAGATCTAACTACTGAGAGTGTCCAGGAGGATAACGGTATCAATGATACAGAGAAATTCAAAGAATGACAATTGAGAAAAGGCCATAAGATTTGGCAATTAAGAGATTTTTGGTTACTTTGGAGAGAGCAATTATGAGGTTAGAAGCCACATTGGCAAGACTTGATAAATGAATAAGAAGGAAGTAGAGGCCACTAATTTATACACCTTTTTCTTCCCTAGGAGTTTGACTACAAAATGGAAAAGAGATATAGAATGATAGCTTGAGGCAATGATAGTTTCTAGTGAAAGTTTTTTTTTAAATGCAGAGAATTGGTCATATGAAAAGGCAGTAAAGAAGGGATCAATAGATAAGGAGAGACTGAAGATATGATATAAAGCTAGATGATAGATATGATGCTTATCTCTCTCTATAGAGAGATCCTTCCCTTGACATATCTATCCATCTATCTATCTATCCATCCATCCATCCATCCATCCATCCATCCATCTATCTGTCTATCTATCTATCTATCCATCTATCTATCTACATATATCTCTATATATCATATCATTTCTTCAGTCTCTCCACACACATTTCTATTTGATGGTTCCACTGTTTTTGATGCTCCCATGGTGAGATAAAACCAGAGGCAATTCTTTGGATGCCAGTCACTTTGAAGGAGAACATTCTTACATGACTGGAACATCCAAAAAGAGCAATGACCACAATGAGGCATCTGTGGTGAGGGTTTCCACTGCAACGAGCACTTTCGAACACCATGATAGGATTGCTCTGTTTTACTCACCACGGTCAGCACAGTGTGTTCATCAGGCTGCCCAGTGGAACAGAAGCTAATCAGGGCGAACATGGCTGCAGAAAATCATGGCAACAGGAAAGAAAAAACCAAATCAATTTCAAACAATGTACAGATTCTATGTGTATGTTATTTGCTTTCATGGAGTTCAATTTAAAGATATTAACAGGAAAGCACAGACACAAACAGGGATATGAAAATCTGCTTGCCTCTCGCCCATTTCACAAGATTCTAGGAACATTTAATAATTTCAATATACAACCTGCAGAAAGAACTTGCTTAATTTCCAGACAACGACAAGAGGTTTCAAAAACAGTGACTCCCAGCATTTCCAATTTATTTAAGGAACCCTTTGATCTGTCATGAAATTTAGGATTCTGCTTTTGACTCCATTAGATGAAGTTGGAGGAGGGATGAATTATTCATATAAAGTATTGCCTCAGTAACACTGCATGAAATAAACATAATGAAAAGCTGCCCATGTTCTATAACAGAGGATAAGTTGCAGCTCACTTGGATAGCAAGCCAAGTGCACTGGGCCAGATTCTCACCCTCTAGAACATTAGGTGAGAATCCTCATCATGAATGAGGTCTCAGATCTTTTTTATTTTTGTCTGGACATGAATTTTCTTCCTTTATGTGTTGAAGTTACATTTATAGCAGGGATGTTATTAAATCTTACACTCCTCAATACCAATTCAGTCACTGGTGTGGCAGGCCAGATACAATTTCCGTGACAACATATCCCCTAGCAATTCACCCCTTTCTGTTGACCAAATCATAGAAATAGGGTAACTCATATTCCAATATGTTCAGTAACTCAATTGAATGAAAAATGCTTAAATTCATGCCTGCAAGGTAAGCAGCTAAGGCAAATGATATATTGAGATCCCAGAGCTGTTCTTTTTCTGAAGGAGCTTTAGCTAGTCTTAAAAAAAAAAAAGGAAATAACTAACCCACATCAATTATGTACATTCAGAGAATTGAGCTCCACTGGGGCTCAAGGGATGGTACTCAGATTCTATTGCTGGAAATCCAAGTTAAAACAAGAGATGTTCTATGATTAGGTCAATTTAAAAGTCTGAAGGGTTGTAGGTGCATATATGAGCCCCTGACAAAATTTAAAGTAAGCAAAATTCCCAAGTCATAGAGTGTTGGAGCCAGAAGTGTGGTACAGTGAGAAGAGGAGCAATTTAGAGTCTAAAGACCTGGGTTCAAATCCTTCCTTTGATGCCTTCTACTTATGTGACTTTGGGCAATCATTTTACATCTCTGAGTCTTCGTTACCTAATATAGAATGAGGAGACTGAATTACATAGCCTCTGTTGTTCATTTCCTAAGATGCATGCTTAGAGATCATGTAATCTAATGCTTACGTGTGTGTATATACATGTGTTTGTATGTGAGTAGTTTTCCCTAGCTTTCTTAGCTGGGAGTACAACAACCACTCTTGGGCCTGATCCTGCTACTGATTGACATGGAAGCTTTCCAGGTTAGTTTGCCCCTCCCTGAGCAAACTGGTCCCTTCCCCCTCCTGGGAACTCATAATATTGGTGCTAGACTTAGTACTGAAAATTATCAGGCTTTAGCTCCCTACATTTCAGAACTCCTGATCTCATGACTTGCTATAGCCTTCATGTTACACGTGAAGAAACTGAGGACCAGAAAGGAGAAGTGACTTTCAAGGTCACAAAGAAAATAAGTGATAGCGTTGCCACTACAACTCATGTGTCCTGACTCCCAGGCTGAGCTTCCCTTCAACATTCTTGGCTTGCCTTCAGTAATGTTCTTGGAGTATCCGAGGTGTATTCCCCAGATGTTCCATCATGGTAAACTTACTCTTCTTGTTCCAGTGGCCTAGTGCTGCCCCCTACTTCACAGTGCCATCTTTTGGGCCTCAAATGGGAATTTATAATGCCTGAATCTTATTCCCTCAGACCTTAAGTTTTTTAGCAAGCTATTGCATAAACTAATTCACACTAATAAATAGTGATGAAGAACCTCTCTCAACTCCAGGTTTAACATTCTTATACCTTAAGGATCCTTGATTTCATTAGTGTGGCATTCCTTCTGATGACCAAGACTGTAAATCTTCTGTTATCCAGTGGAAGTATTTAACTGTTCTACTATGTCATAATGGGGTGGTGATCTGTCAATGATTTCAATAACAAAGAGTCAATGTGGTACAGAGAAAAGAGCACTGGCTATGAGGTATATACTATTGCAAAAGGATTGTTGACCAATATCTCTAGCAAATATTGATGAAAAAAAATTTTGAAAAAAAAAATGAAGTTGTACCTTACATGAACTGATGCAATGTGAAGTGAGCAGAATCAGGAGAATGTTGTTTTCAGCAACAGTTTTCAGTAACAGTAAAAGTACGTTGACTTCTCAGCAATACAATGATCCAAGTCAATCCCAAAGGACTCACCATGAAAAATGCTATCCACTTCCAGAGAAGGAACTGATGGAATCTGAATGCAGACTGAAGCATACTATTTTTCACTTTCTTCACTGTTTTCATGTTTTCTTCTTATTTGGTCTGTTTCTTCTCTCGAAACATGACTCATATGGAAATATGTTTTGCATGATCACACATGTATAACCTATATTAGATTGCTTACCATCTTGGAGATAGGGGAGAGGGGAAGGAGGGAGAGAATTTAGAACTCAAAATTTTAAAAAATCAATGTTCAAAATTGTCTTTATATGTAAGTAAGAAAAAATAAAATATTATTAAAAGAAAACTTCAGTAGGGACTTTAACTGTGATGTCTATATCTATATATCTATATGTTCATCTCTATTATTCTGTCATCTACCATCTCTCTATATACTCAGCTCACATGTACATATGTGTGTATAGATACATACACACATATATACACATACACACATATACGCATACCCTAATGAACTCAGCAATCCTTAACATATTTAAGTATAAACATTAACCTTGGAGTTGAAAGAGTTTCTGTTACTGTTCACTAGTGTGAATTGGTTTATGTGATAGCTTATGAAAATTGAAGGCCTGAAGGAATAAGATTCACTAAGAATAAGCTTCTAAGAGTATACATACACATATGTAATATAGATAGTAAATATATATAATAAATACATATCTGTGTACATATTTTTATAAATATATATGTATATCTTAATTCAAGTATTAGGATCATATTTGCCTCATAAAAAGAAGTTGGCAGAGTGGTTTGAATTATTCTTTTTTTTAGAACAATCTCTGTTGCTTAATGATTAATAGATTTTAAATTATTTGATAATAATTCATTTATCAAACTGTCTGGTCCAAATTATGTTATTTTTTCCACAATTCTTTTATGGTTTTCCATGATTCATCTTTCTGAAATTGAGTTGTTCACTAGTATTTTGCCTAGTATTGCTAAGGATTGCTAGTTTATTAATTTTGGTAAGCATTTACTTATCTTTTATACTCTTAAGCTGATCATCATAGAATTAGGTTTAATAGTTTCTGATGTTGCCTTTATTTCCTTTCTTTTCATTGTAAATTTGCCTTTATTTTTTTAAATTTTGGCAAAAGACAATAGGGTCTTCTTCTTTAGAAAATCAACTAGTATATCATCATTTCTATTAGTCTTTAAAAGAAGCTCTTTGTTTTGCTTTTCAGTTAAATAGTACTTTTGTTTCTAATTTTATTTATTTCTCCTTTGATTTTCAAAGTTGTTTCTTTTGTGCTTGTTTTGGGATTGGCAGGGATATATATTTATATTTTCCCCTAAGACTACTTAGATTCATCCCATATATTTCATTGTCATCTTGCTGATATTCTCTTTAATATAGTCATTTATGATTTGTTTTGTTCTTTGATGCACTCATTATTTCCAGTGTCATTACTTAGTTCCCATATTAATTTTCATTTATATTTCCTTTATTAGTATTTATTATATTATGGTATAATGAGAATATTTAATATTTCTGCATTTGAATATTTATTGTGATATATTATTTACATACTTTATATTCATATCTATAATATATTTATTGTTATTTATTATCTAGTTGAGTACAAGATCCCAGTTTTTTTTTGTGAGGCAGTTGGGTTTAAATGACTTGCCGAGAGTCCCACAGCTAGGAAGTATTGTATGTCTGAGGTCGAATTTGAACTCACATCCTCGTGACTGCAGGGCTGGTGCTCTATTGATTGGGCCACCTAGCTGCTGCTGCAAGATCCCAATTTTAACTATGCTGTTGGTCCATAATCAGAAGCCTCAGAAAGGGAGTGGGAGTTGTGGACTTTTGTATGTAGATGATCAGGAAACCACGTCAACAACCTTAACTAATCCTCTTAGCTAGCGAAGTCCCAAGAAGAATTTCAGTACCTCTTACTAAGTAGCTAAACCTGTGTAAAACAAAGATTTAGGGAAATGGTAGCCTAGCCTATGTGGACTGTATAAAATATTCCTCTTATAACACCATGTCATTTGGTGCACATGTTGAATAATTATATTATTTTATTATCTATGTTACATTTAAGTACGATTTAATTTCCGGTTTGTCTCTCTTGAAAATATTTGTTTGCTTTTACTATTGCCCTATATGAAATCATGATTTTGATTTCTACTGTGATAATAATAATTTTTGTTCCTCCTTTTAAACTCTGTATGTATCTTTCTGTTTTGAGTATACTTCTATGCAAGAAGTTATTGGTTTCTGTTTTCTGTTTTCTACTCATTCTACCATTTTCTTCCTTTTTATTGGCAAATTTCATAGTTCACTTTCAAGGTTATAATTTTGAAGTTTTTGTTTCTACCAATTGAATTATTATGAAATTTTTAAAAAAAGACAACCTTTTGGGGGCGGAGCCAAGATGGCAGAGTGAAAGCTGTGACTTGCTTGAGCTCTCCCCCAAACCCCTCCAAATACTCATATAAAAAATGGCTCTAAACAAATTCTGAAGCAGCAGAATCCACAAAAAGACAGAGTGAAACAAATTTCCAGCCCAAGACAACCTGGATGATTGATCAGAAAGGTGTATCACGCCGGGCTGGGAGTGCTGTGCTGTGCGGCATGGGCGCGCAGGCCGCAGCGAACCTGGAGCAGGCCTCAGAGGACTGAATCACGGGCAGCTGTGGCAGTTTCCAGACTTCTCAATCCGCAAATGCCAAAGACAACTTAGAAGGTCAGTGGGAAAAGTCTGTTTCTGTCGGTGCTGAGACAGGAAGGTGGGGTTTCAGCTCCATTCCCCAAGAGCGTGGCCCTGGGGGGGGGCAGCTGCTTCCTGAGCTTCTGGCCCACAGACTGAGGGGGCATCCAGTGGCTGATCAGAGAGGGACTGCAGGGATCTCTTTGCCAGTGCTGAGGCAGGAATCTCTTGCATTGCCCGTGCTTGGATCTGGGTCACAGTTCTGGGTGGCGGTGCTGGGGTAAGGGAAAAAGACAACCTTTTAAGCCTGTGCTAAGTCCCTATGATTTTTTTTTCTACTTACATCAGCCTGATTGCAATCTCTTTTCAGAGACAATTCCCTTTATCCTCACTCTCCACTGCCCAGGTCAAGCCCATATTCCTTGATTGTCCTTTTATTTCATGGACATGAACTGACCTTGGATCCAGGAAAACTATGTCCAAGTCTCTCTTCTGACTCAGGCATACTGACTGTGTGATTCTGGACAAGTCACTCTACATCTCAGTGCCGTAGACAATTCTCTGGGACTCTAAGTTGCAGAGAAGATTCTGACCTGCGTTGATAAAGTTTCCTCATCTAGGAATTCTCATTTGACAGATGAGGAAACTGGGGCAATTAGGGTGAAATGACTTGCCCAGGGTCACACAGCTAGTTAGTGTCTGAGGCCACATTTGAACTCAGGTCTTAAAGCTCAATGCTCTATTCACCGTGTAGCTTGGGTTGGGGGATATTTGGTGATCTTTGTCACTGAGGGCCATGACTTCATTTAGATATTGATGTTCTAGATAGGACTGAAATAAGTAACAGAGAAAAGATGGTCTTCATCTTTCATCCCAAGTCACTCCTTAGTTTTCATCCTCAAGTATTAGGGTTGGAGGAGGAAACCTTAGGAAAACTTAGCCTCCTTTAGTAATGATGGAGAAGAACATGGATGATAGCAGCGAGGAGCATTTTACTGTAGCAATTTTACTGGAAAGCAGTGTCGTGTAATGGAGAGCATGCTGGATTTGGAGTCAGAAGAGATAGATTCAAATCCTGGTTCTTCCTCTTACTCCCTAGGTAGCACAGGGCAAATCACTTAATCTCTATGGTGATTAAAAAGGTTCCAGAGACATGATTTCTTGGTAATTTAGTAATTTTGTTAATAAGGCAGCATATTATTAATGAAAGGACAATCATTTGGCCATCTCTCTCAGACCAAAGACATCATGGCAAGGTGGGCTCAGAGCTTATATGTTCTGTTGGAAGAGAACTGGCAATCAACTCTGATTGGTTAACACAAGAGGAAGTGAGCTATATTAAAATGAGAGGCTGAGAGTGACATCATGTTGCCCTTGGACAGAGAAACTATATATTCAGACCACCCTCAGTTTTGGACTATGTATACCCCACCGAAGCCTGAGCAGATCACAATAGCTTCCACCAAGCTTGAACAAGACAGTGAGTCCAGTCTCATTATCAACAATGTCCTTCAAGAGACTGAATTTTTAAAATCAGGACTTTGGAAGAAGGGGAGAACTCTGAATCTCCCCAAATTATTGATTATACATAATCATGTTGTTCACCTCTCTGGGTCTCATTGTCTGGGTCTCCTCCCAATGAGGAGGTTGGACTAAATGACCTTTTAGGTCTCTTTCAATTCTAAATTCATTATCCAATAAGAAAATATCCCCTTCCTGTGAGGTCTACCTTATTCATGTCCTCGTTTTAAGTTCCAAATCAGGTAGGAAGTTGAGGGCATTGCCAAGAGGGTTGGGAAGATGAGGCAAAGAAAGGTCTGTGGCCTTCACGTCTAAATAGCAACCCAGCCTGCGAGCCCTGAAAATAGGTGACTTATAGCAGTTCAATGGTATTATTGACAGTGACCAGCTAGAATACTTTTTTTGTTTTTGTTTTTGGTTAGGCAGTGG